CGGTTCACAGTCCCACTCGTTCCTAATAAGTCTGTAAACATAAATAATCACGGAAACCGTCGTCTCTCTCCCTCTCTTTCTGATACGCTTCCCTTCTCTGCCGCAGTTTTCCTTTCCGGCACTGGTGATCCGGTGAGTGGTTGCGATATGGTGCTCTGTTTTTGCGCGGAGATCGGATCCCTACCAGTGACATTGAAAGTGGTATATCGGTAACAGGCAACCAAGCGAGAGTAGTGATATCGCTGGAGGACATGGTGATTGCGGCCCCCGCGGCCGTCGTCTCCCATACTGCCACTACATCTGTTCGCAAAAACACTCCCGTCGTCACTCGGCCAAATGATCCTTCGGCGAAGGTGTCACGGCGACCACTAACTCCGTCCGAGAGGGACAATGCTGGATTCTCTCGGCGGCCGCGCAGCAAGGAGATCTCCTCCAGATATTTGTCTTCGTACTCTTCTTCTTCTTCGTCAACTACCTCCACTTCGTACTCCACGAATTCCACTTTCTCCTCTTCGTTGTCTACCTTTCCTTCCCGGCGATTTTCTTCACCTCTTGCCAATCATCGGGCGTCGACGCCATCTTCATTTCCAAAAAGCTTGACCTCCAAGAGGTCCCAGTCAGTGGATCGGACCCGCTCCTCTACTCCCCTCCCAGATCCCCGAGGCGCCTCGACGGCAGAGGGATCGGATGCTGCGGGGGGGTTCTGCACTACCACCAGGAGCCTCTCCGTCTCCTTTCAGGACGAATCCTTCTTCTATCAGACTAGCAAGGCTAAGGCGGACTCCACGACGCCCTTCCGGAAGCCAACACCGGATCGCCGGAGGCCCACTACGCCGGTTCGAAACTCCTCAGCCGTCAGCACCGATCTGTCCGAGACCTCGAGGACCCCGGATCACTGCCATCGCTGGCCGGCGGCCAGGAGCAGGAAGTCCAGTCTTCTGACGAAGAGCCTGGATTGCTCGGGTGAGAGGAATGATCTACTCACTACTGTTCAGTTGCTGCGGCAGTCAATGTTGGTCGACGGTGGTTCAGGCTGGGCTTCATTTGTTGGGGCGGAACTCTCGGCTTCTTCAGACACGGATAGTGTTTCATCCGGAAGTAATTCAGGGGTTCATGAGCTGAACGCACCTCGCCATGCGCGGGTCACTTCCTGCGGGATTAGCATGCCTGCCCGATTTTGGCAGGATACAAATAACAGGCTTCGCCGGCTGCCGGAACTTGGGACTCCGGTATCTTCAGGCGGCTCAATGAGCCCTGCCATGCCACAAATAGCTTCTGTGAGGAGATCAGTTGGCGAAAACTCTTTGTCTCGATTTGTCTCTTCTCCACTTAGGGGTGCTGTGAGACCTTCCAGTCCCAGTAAACTTGCAGGTTCTCCATCAAGAGGAGTCGTCAGTCCTTTAAGGGCAAGGAGTAGTAGTACATTGGTGAGTTCTTTGCCTGCACGCCTGACAGCTAATGCACCTTCGATTATAAGTTTTTCTGCTGAGGTGAGGAGAGCTAAAAAAGGAGAGAATCGGATCGAAGAGGCCCATATGTTGAGGCTATTGCACGACCAGCATTTGCAGTGGAGGTATGTGAATGCAAGGGCCAATGCTGCACTGATGATTCAAAGAGTGGCTGCAGAGGTAAGCTTCAAAGTTTTTTATATTTTAGTTATCTTTGCTTTTTTGATATGAGTCCTATGTGCTATAACTTAACATTTGGTTTGGATACATGTGTTTCTATTTGAAGCGTGGTATCAAGTCTGAACTGAAATGCAACTTTCATATGAAAAAAATTACTCCACATTTGGCACATTTGAAATTAAAAACCTCTGTTCGCTTCGAACTCTTACAATGCTTTGAAACTTCAATAATGATTTTAAGAAGAACTCACTTTTTTTTCTAAGTTTAATTTTTATTCTCACAGACCTTTACTTGATTTATCAAACAGTAAGAGCAATAAGTAATGGATCGCTTATTTCAAAAATGTTGAATCTTGCAGATTTGCTGTACAATTACTTCATCAGGCGCACTCTCTATTCAAGTCAACCGTTAGATACCTTCTAATTGTCTCATTTAATATGCTTGTTGGTTTAAATGCACAATAATTAAGAATAGTTTGCATTGCTTTTAATTAATTTTTCCCTTGAAAGAAGTGCCATTACAATTTGTAGTTTGTCGGCTTTGTTTGATTGATGACTTAAACTCTTGGACTTATGTCTAACATAAATAACTCTTTCTGCAAGAAATTTTTTCATCATAGACCAACTTAATCTCCTATGGGTAAAAATTCTAACCCAGGTTATCTTTTTAAGCCAACCTGCCAACTGCATGTAAAATTTGGCCTTTTGACTAATGAAATTTGAACTGCTACTGTTTATGAGATTTGTGTTTTGGTTAGCCAATACATCATTAAATGTAATAGTATCAATTTAGCTTGGAAAGACTTAATATATAGTCTGCTTAGTACACCTTACAAGCTTTAATCTTGTTGCCTTGAATGAGCGCATGCTGTATCAGTTGAAGTTATCGAGAGTTTGTGGAATTAATGGAAAAAGAGAGAGAAGAAAAATGGAAAAAAATTTGCAGCTTTGCAACTGATTCGCATAGGTAGTCACAAACTCACAATTAAATAGGATACCTGTAGTGCACAATGACAGTTTTTAAGTTTTCTAAACCCAATGCTGCATTCAGTTTTCTCTACAGGATTGCTTTAAGAGGTTAGTCATGAAATAAAATCCTGCTTGTTATCCTTTAAGCAAACCAGCTTCTATTTTAATTTTAATTTTCTTCTTCTAAATGAAATTTCTCCTTAACAGCTGTGAATTTTCATAACATTATATTCGTAAATAAATATAAGATAAGGATAACAAGCAGGATTTTACTTGAACTGCCTTAAAATCGTGATTAAATACATGTTATGATCCTTAACAGCTGTTTTTATTTTTAAATACATTATTAAATAAATGTTATGATCCTAAACAGCCGTTAATTTTCTTCGAATCTGGACCTGCCATAAAAGAAAATTTCTTTAATCATGGTTTTTTTTTCTACTTTTTTTTTTTTTTTTGTTCAAAGAGGGCTATAGGCCATCAAATTGGTGTTTTTATTCACTCATTTTCAGTCTAACCTGAGGGTTTACATTGTTAAGATAAAACTGAAAAATGGAACCGAATCTATCTTGATATATGGTTTGTTTTTATTGTTATATTATCGATTCCATTATGAGTAAGGTTTGACTTTCTTTGATTTTGGTACTTGGTTTGATTTTTATTATTTAAAATTGATAAAACTAAAGATCAAATTATATTAATTTCTTCAATTAAATCAACAAATACTGTAACTTACAAGTTAACAATTGATGAAAAGATCATCATTAATATTATTTAGCTTATGTTCTAAAATTATAAATTTTAGCATAATTAGGAAAAGAGGCAATTTCTTTCTGTCAATTTCTACAACTCCCCACGAATGAAACTACATGCAATGTAGATATGACATGCATTTTAGTAGCATAGTTTTGCTTGTTGAAATTAGCAGGCAATTACAGCGAAGGTTGTGAAGTCACAAGTGTAAGTAAAAGAATATATAAATGTGGTCATGTGCTTGTATCTTACTTGCATGGATTTTATGTGAATTGTGCACTAATTTGGGTAAAGAATGCTTTTTTTTTTTTCTTTTACAACCACATTAAACTGATGACCTTGATTTCATGAAAGTTATTTTACATGCACATTCCTGAGACATTTTAAAGACATGAATTATTTTATTTATTATTATGGAATTTAGAAGTTTTGAACACTTGATCCCGAACTCGAGTACATGGTAAACCGTGGTACTTCCACAATCACTTGTCAGACTATATATGGCTTTAACAAATTGGAAAAAATAAAGAAGAACCTCTTTAATCTTTTCCTGCTTTAAGTCTTGGTTGCTTTATCTCATTATTTGACATTATAAAATATCTATCCACTTCAATTCTCAGTTTTGATTTGATGACAATTCACCTGTAATATCTAATTTTTGTTGCATGGATTTAGCAATTTACCTATGTATGGAATTCAGTTTTTATTGTGGCATTTATGAGCAAGCATTCTGCTTGTTTTTAAATCATTCCTGCAAAATTTATTATCCATGTTCATGCTCCATGTTAGTGTGCTTCAAAATTTTTTGATATTATTCTTGTTTGCTCTTTGAACCACTAAATTCTATAACCTGAAGCCTTCTTATGATTGATTTCAGAAACATCTGTATAACGCGTGGATAACTATATCGGAGATGCGTGACTTGGTTACTATTAAAAAAACCAAGCTACACTTCCTGACACAAAATCTAAAGCTAACTACCATTCTGAAGAGTCAGGTAAGTTTTCCGTTGTAATATGATTACTATTACCATTTCTCTGACCGAAGACTGTTTGCTATTATATATCTTTAATTTTTTCTGGTTCTATCTTTTTGTCGTTGATTATTATTAATTTCATTAGTAGCTTTGAGATTATTGGTGACTTACTGTATTTCTTAGGAAAGCTTATGCGCTTGCAGATAGTTTAACAGTTTTTGTGTAAGAATATCTTTGTAATTATTTGTTCTCAGGAAATTTAGGTTCTTGATAAGATGGCCTCTCTTAGAGTGAGTAATGTTTTCCGCAGCGAATTGTTCAAACTGATTGGATTGGTGATTTAATTGAAAGAAAGGAAGGTTAACCTCACTTTTTTTAGTTATTGATTGTAAACCAATCAGAAAGGCAAGAGTTGCCAGTTATTCACAATCTTTATTTCTCTGTCAGTGCCAAGTGCGACTGCAACATAGGGAAGTTGTGGCTCTGGATTTGAGTTCGAAAACTCTTCATAGTTAAGAAGATGGTCCTTTCTTTTGTAAGTAGATGATTAACACCTTGTGTACATTCTCTCTTTCAAATTATATCAGCTGTAGAGTAGGATCTGGTAGAGGTTTCAATGACTAATATGACCTACATAACCACCCAAAATGCCAATACATCACTAGAGGTCCCCAGAGTGACCAAATGACATTTAAGCCAACATACAGGTAAGGGCAGGAGCTTAAGATAACCTTAAAACAAGTCTTTTTCTGACCAAATTTAATCTTTGGCTGAAACTTTACTTTTTTGTGTGCCTGAATATATTAGGAATTTATTTATTATGCTGTGTAGTTTCTATTGATTTTATCAATTAACTGAATTTTAGCTACTATCCTCAATGTAACATATTTCTTCTTTGTGGATATATACAATGAAGATAAAAGTATACCCTCTTTTGCAAGTTTATTGTCGCACGCACCGACAGTACCATCTATATTTTCGTGATCGGGATGCATGAATTTTGTCCATTCCTAGATGACGTACCGATAACCATAGCATGTGTCATAAAGTTGATGGGTGTTTTTAAGGTTTAAATGATGAATAGGATCTTATCTTATATATATTGATAGGAGGGAAAATATAACAATCAACTAAAATTTAATATTGTTATGGATCAAAAGCCAACATGCTTGTATGTTAATCTGACAATTATTTCAATTGGCATAACGATTAATATCATTATGTAGCATCAACATTTTCAATCTTAGAAAGGTTGTCTTCTTGCAAAATATTTTTTGAAAGGGGTGATATAATAATATACACTTGGTTCTAATGAATGTTAATTTTTTTAATTGTGGCCCACATTGCCCACAAACCCACTAACATGAGTCATTTACTTTAATAATAAATGACAATTAATTAATTAAATTATATTAAATTCTTTTTGATAAGTAACCATTTTATGGATGGTGGTTACTAATGTGTGTCATTTATTGTAATTAATTAATTAAATTCTTTTTGATAAGTAACCCCCTTATAGATTACTAATGTGTGTCATTTATTTTAATTAATTAATTAAATTATCTTAAATCATTTTTGATAAATAACCTCTTTATGTATGGTGGTTACTAATGTGTGTCATTTATTTTATTTAATTAATTTAATTATCTGAAATCTTTTTTGATAAGTAATCTTCTTATGGATGGTGTTACTAGCGTGTATCATTTATTTTAATTAATTAATTAAATTATCTTAAATCATTTTTTATAAGTAACTGCTTATGGATGGTGGTTACTAACACGTGTCATTTATTTTAATAATTAATGTCAATTAATTACTTAAATTGTCATAAATCCTATTGGTCAGTAACCCCCTTGACAGACGGTGATTAAATAACGCATAATTCAGAGAAGGGTCATCTATTTTTTTAACAGACACTATATATTTCTTTTCATCAGAAAGTACAGAAAGTTTCAGAGGATTAGAGAGAGACATCATTTCTTCAGATCTAATTCTAAAATCATGAATACTAGTAGGTTTCTCTTATTTATGAGTATGTAGAAATCATGAATTTAAACATCTTGGTCATTATGTGTTTTATGAATTTGGGTCATAAAATTATATGATAAATTAAAAAAAAATTCTAACATGTGGTATCAGAGACTTGATTGTTGAATTTGTGATTTTTTATCATTTTTATTTTTGTTAATTGTATTAGATTTCCGTTGTAGATTAGATCTTGGAATTAGATCACTAAAGTTAATTGATGAATCGAGAGATTATTTTGAGTTTTGTTAAACTATGAATTTGTTTCTTTTCGGTCGGCTTTCTTCGCTAATCTACCTGACCATATAGTTTATGTTATTATTAATTTATATTATGAAATATATATTGTTCTGATTAAATTATTGTTTATATGATATATATATATTATGTTTAATTTGTTAGTCATTAAAGTGACCAAATTAATATGTTTAACAGATGTCAAAGAAATAAATTCAATTACTCATGAGTTTGTGATGCAATTTTGTATTTTATTTTATTATAAGTATATTAAAATTCATGCATCAACTTTATTATGTAACAATTAATATATTATGAAACAATTTTGTATTTTATTATAAGTATATTAAAATTCATTTATTATAAAATATTTGTGGATCGCCCAAAAGTTGATTATTTATTTTATAATCTTTGAATATGATTGTGACATATTTATATACTTAATTAGATATGTTTATATATCTAAAAATAATAAACATGTCTAATTTGAGTATAAATAATTGTTAATTATATTAAATCAAAATCATGCATCAACTTTATTTATTATTGTATTGCTATATCACACAAAAGAGATTATCAATATACTATTAATGTTTTTATTTAATCTGATTGATTATGAATATCAGTTTATGTTTAATACTCGAAGCATTAATGTATGAGTATGTTTTATTTATTTGCAGTATCTACTTCTGTTTCTCTTCATTCGCAAACTACATATGTTCAGACGTTCAATGAGATTAATTTCTCAGAATGGTGCGAGCAAGTCCAGTTATAATAGTGTTGAACATTTTAATAGCCTCCTGCTCTTAATGATTAGTGTTGAGCAAAAATCTTTCTATAAAGCTTGAGAGGACTGTAGCAACAACATAACATGTACATTTTCTAACGCTGAAAGTGCTAAGGAATTCATGAGATTTGCTGAGGGATGTTCTCAGTTTGATTGTGTTGATAAGTCTCTTGCTGGGACACTATTGAGTATGTTAAACAACATGAAATTTGATGGTTCTCGTATTATGCATGAGTATGTCGTTGAAATGACGAACATAGCAGCAAGACTTAAGACCCTGAGAATGGAAGTGAATGAAAATTTTCTTGTACAGCTTATCATGAACTCCTTGTCTCCTGAGTATGTTTCATTTTATATGAATTACAACACTATGAAAGATAAGTAACACTATGAAAGATAAGTGAGAAAGATAAGTGAAATGTGAATGAACTGCAATGTATGCTCATTCAAGAGGAAACAAGACTTGAGAAAGGAGAAAATCACTCAATTAATCTCATGGGTCATTAAACAAGAGATGTAAGGAAACTCGAAAAGAAGAATGGAAAGGACAAGCAAATATCACTAAAGATTAATGCGTCATCTGCCCCAATTGACAAAGAGGAACATAAATAAATTAAGTGTCATTTTTGCAGAATACTTGAACACTATCAAAATGAGTGTCAAAAATGCAAAGACTGATTTGAAAAGAAAGGTAAACCTTGTATTTTTATATGTTTCAAATCAAATTTGATAGAAGTTTCTTATAATATTTGGTGGATTAACTCTGGTTGTACCACTCATGTTTCCAATACAATGCAAAGATTCCTTACAATTCAAATCATAAACCCAAATGAAAAGTTTGTCTTCATGGGAAACCGAGTCAAAGCTCCAGTTGAAGCCATTAGAACCTATCGATTGATTTTAGATACTAGACATCATTTAGACTTTTTTCAAACATTTTATGTCTCTTTTGTTTCTTGTAATTTGATTTCATTGTTTAAACTTGATTCCATTGGATATTCTTTTAAATTTGGGAATAAATGTTTCAGTTTGTTTAAACACAATCATCTTATTGGTTATGATATTTTTTGTGATGGTCTATATAAGTTTAAACTTAATGTTGGTACTAAACGTGATTTTATGAATGAAAATTCAACTTATTTGTGACATAAATATTTGGGTCATATATCCAAAGAAAGAATTAAAATATTAGTAAAGAATGAAATCCTTAATGAATTAAATCTTACTAATCTTGACATTTGTGTGGATTGTATTAAAGAAAAATACACAAAACACACACTTAAGAAAACTGCCACAAGAAGCACACAACTTTTAGAAAGTATACACACTGATGTTTGTGGACCTTTTGATGTTTCATCTTTTGGTGGAAAAAAAACATTTTATCACATTTATTGATGACTTTTCGCGTTATGGATAAGTCTGTTTATTACATCAAAAATTTCAATCACTAGATGCCTTAAAGGTTTTTATAATTGAGGTTGAGAGACAATTAGATAAAAAAGTGAAAATTATCAGGTCTAATAAAGGTAGGAAATATTATGGAAAATACAATAAATCTAGACAATGTTCAGGTCTATTTGTTAAATTCTTTCAAACTAATGACATATGTGCTCAATACATTATGTCAAGAACTCCACAATAAAATTGTGTTGCAGAAAGAGGAAACCATTCTCTGATGGAAATGGTTATGAGTATCATGAGTAATTCTTCTTTACACTCATCATTGTGGATGCATGCTTTAAAGACTGTTGCTTATTTTTTAGACATGATTCATAGTAAGGCAGTTCCAAAGATTTCTTTTGAACTGTGGATGGGAAGGAAATCTAGTTTAAGGCACCTGCGTGTTTGGGGTTTCCTAGCGAAAATAAGATTATGTAATCCACTTGAAAAGAAACTAGACTCAAGAACTACCAGTGATTTCTTCATTAGTTATCCAGAAAAATCTAAAGAATATAGATTTTATTATCCTAAT